GCCTTCGTCGACCACTACCGGCCTCCGTCGAGTACCAGCGATCACCGCCGACCTCCATTGATCGTCATCGATCACCGCCGACCATCATCAACAGTCAACGACCACCGCTGACTTCTGTCGATTACCGTCAGTCGTCGTCGACCACAACCGATCATTGCTGACCTCCGTCGACCACAATTGACCGTCATCATCAAATGTCTTCAACCACCGCTAACCAGACGTCGTCAGTCGATGTTGTACTTTGAAAAATCTTTTTACTCTTTGGGACAAGGGGCATCTGTAATCATCAACTTACAGTGAAATTTTTATAACTGGGCCAGACCCCGTGGTTTTTTCCCTTTACGGGTTTTTCACATAAAAACTTATGGTGTAATCATAGGTTGATTCTCTTTCATCTGAGTGTGTGCTGTGCAAAGCTAAGACGATAATACATTACTCTACCGCCACGAATTTTCTAGCACTCATCAAGATATGTAAATACATAAGAATTTAGAGGTTTCAATGTAAATGTTAATATTTTTTGCATGATTGTCGTTAAAAGATACACCAACAATAATTATTAATTTTATTATTTTTAAATTCTTTGGTAAAGTGCATGTGGGCTCAAGCATTACCAAGTTGACACTAAGGCTCTGTTTGGCGTGGCTTCCTCTGTGCGGTGCGGTAGGAGGCCGTGGTTTTGCACTGTTTATGAGGAGACATTCATCGCCTTCACGTTAAAGACAATTTCATTATTAATTTACTTGTAATTTTATTTATTTATTTTATTTTTCTTTGCAATTTCGATACTCACTGCTAAGTGAGTAGGGTATTCATACTTTTGTTATTTTTTAAATAAATTTTTGCTTTTGAATTATCAAATATATCGCTGTTATAGTTCTGTTTTAAACAACTTCAATAAACAAGGGCAAAAATAATCATTTTTACAGAAACAACTACCCCACAACTGTTCTCACACAGCTGCAACAAACATGCAACCAACTTCCTCGCAGCAGCTTCCTGGGGCAGCATAGTTGCAGCTGAAAGGCTGAGAAGCTACAACTGCACCAAACAGAACCTAAAATTCAGCCATAATGATTGATATTTGGAATCCTCCCACCCTTTGAAGAAGCCACTTTCAAGTAGAACTCCATTGATTTCTTATGCTTAATTAAAATTCAACACATTTTAGTTTATATATAGTGACAGCAGAGGTGATTTGTGTGGCGGCCGATCCTAAGGCGGCAATAATTGGTGGAATATAGTGGTGGGGATGACGATAAGTTTGGCTGTTAGTAGCAGGAGGGTGGATAGTGTGACAGGCTATTGCTGAACGACTAATACTTGAAACACACTGAAATCATGATCGAAAATGAATTTCAAATGCATTAAAATTTTATATTACATTTATTTTTTCTTCTCATCAAACATTAGAAATTTAATAACTCTTCATTTCTTTTACATTGCACTACTAACTTCACAGGCCAAACAGCCCCCGTAAACTGACTTATCATTATGAAATGAATTAATCTTAATTGAGTTTAAATTTAATTGAATTTCATTTAAAATTAACTCGAATTTGAGTCTTTTGGAATTAGATCACATCTCAATTTACGTTGCTTTAAACCTACTCAACGATAAATATTTTTTTGTCCATTTGCAGGTTGCGGGGGGCAATTGGCTTGCCTTGCCGCCTACTTTACTATTGATATCTTATTATTATTGCGCATGCAGGTGGCGTGTAACGTCAGTTTGTTCATCAATCTTACATGCATCCCCTTCCACATTTTTTTTTATTTAGAAATACAATTTTATAATCACATAACCATTCGATACCTACTTTCATACCTTAGGCTTCCAATAAGGCGGCGCCATGTGTAAAGTGGACCACATGTCGCTCCCTTATTGGACTCCAAATGCATCTGAAATCACGACCTAATATTTTTTCTAAAGATACTGATGTTACATGCTACTTTGAAGATATTATTCAACAAATATTAACAAAACAAATTTGGCAATAATTCAAGAGTCCATATAATTGATTAGAAAATCAGCAATATAAAATTAGCAATAAAGGTGACAACAACAACAGAAATAAGAGCAAAAATTTCTCCATCAAAAGATGCCCAAAGCCATACATCATACCCATCTAATATTATGACCTTCTCATCTTTCTTATTCATAAGCCTATCATGAACATGAGAACACCATATCATTCACACAATTCCCATTTGATTAGACTATAATATCTCTTGTTAATGATCATCTTATCCTCTAACTAACCCACTTAAACATAATTATTATTATAGAACCCCATGAATTATTATGCTTAACCTATTTATTTACTCATTATTATTCATAATTGTGCATAATTGAATAGGACATATCAACAAAAATATTCTTAAGTTTGTTATATTTTTATTTTCATGTCATTTATATCTGGTAGACTATGCCTATTCCATATAAGAAATAAGGCATAATTTCAATCATATATATATATATATATATAATGACAAAAATAACAAAAATCAGACATTTACCCTACAATTTTTATTATTTTAAGAGAAAAACATGAGTAGTAATGAAAGAGAGCATGATAGAACAAATATTAAGAGGGGAGAATTCATGCCCATTTTTTGAGAAGATGAAGATCCGGAGGCGAGGCTTGCAAGCCAAGAGTTGTTGTCTAGCGGGACGCCTCTCCCCGTTGTTGCTGTTGGATTATTTTGAGGACTTTTTGATGACTTTTGGCTGGGCATTCAAAATAATAAAACAAGGTAAATGATTATCCCATAATTTATTCAAGGGGCATTTACATACATACATGCCGTATAATTCTTATATATTAATATATCTAACACTTACACATTCATATTTACAAATAAATCCGGTGCCAAAATATTCATATTTACATGCATACTACTGACAAATATCATCATCTTATCTTCTAAAATATCAAATGCACATTTTTTATACATAAATTTGAATGATTGGAGGCTATTATGCGAGCCCCAGTCATTCCTCATGAGCCGAAGAATTCGAGTAGCACACCCTATAATCTAGTGGAATCGAACCACAGACCAGATGAGACGTTTAACTGACAAACAGATGTCCGACTAACTGATCTTATGTTAGGTATGACTCATATACCAGAATTTGGAGTCTTTTGGAGTGAAGAGATGTGCCTCTTAGTTGAAGAGGCGTGTCTCCTGAAATGAAAATGAGTCTCTTGAAATTTAGTGGGTTGGGGGGAGCGTGTTTTATCTATATATATGATGTGTAATCCTATGTGTATGCAACTGGACTCCTCTGAAATAGTGAAATATTCCGCTCTGCTCCCGATGACGTAGGCATCTTTGCCGAACCTCATCAAATCTCCGTGTTCTTATGGTTTTGTGTCGATTCCTATTTCTCTTCGCCCTAAATTTCTCAACATCTTAGTACGCTAAGTGTGTGTTTTTCTATATATA